CCCCCCCCCCCCCCCCCCCCCCCAAATTTACTAATTTGACAGCTGACTGTGGTCTCCTCTCAGTCAAGCTGTGGGGCCACTGCCATTCAACTATGTCCCTTTTTTCAAAGAGTAAAAGTTGTGTAGCTGATTCTTTAAAAGCTGATAAACAGAAACACAATTAGCATTTATGGGTGCAAATAGCACAACAGGCTAGCTTTCCACTTCAGCGATACCAGCACTCGGTCCTGGGATTGTCTGATCCTACATTCATCAGAACCACTTGAGCTCCTGACAAAGCAGAAGCTCACGATTAGAAAAAATGCAAACAAAAAAAGCAAAGGCTGACTGACTGTGTCTGCTGGATGTCTCATGTTGACTAGAACTTTTTTTTTTCTCCGCAGGCTAGAAACCAAAATGACAGATTGACTGAAGGGAAAACCACAAGCCCCAGAATGTTAATAGTCACAACAGCTTCACGCCAGAGACATTTAAGCAACAGTAGCATTGAATTTATAACAGTCGGTCTCAACTTGCTCATCCAGTGGTCATGTAGGCTTTAACATGAATTATGAGGCATTAAAAACACACATTTTCACTATCTCCTGTCTATGTTTTACTGAGCCTATTTCTCAAAATAATTAATTATTCTTTTGAGGGGCCACAAGCCAAAATGTTCAAAACTACTAGTTTATAGTTCACAATTTTATGATAAGTTATCATCATATGTATTTGTCGCAAGTACATATGACAAATGTAAAATTATTAATGTTTTATTCCTCCTCAGTGTGTGTAGAAATCTTTTTAATGTTGTCACCGACATTTCGTCTCAATTGAACCGTTACTCACTGTCACACCAGCAGGGACCACATAACAAAATCCTCCCCTCCTTACATCACATAAGGAGCAACACACTGATTATTTATAAAACTGGAGTATCCTTCAGCTCTGCAGTCCGCACAAGGCAAGACACAGCTTTTCAAATGAAAGCTCGTCCCAGAGGAAGGCATTCCTCTGATCTGGTGATGTTAGACCGTCGGTTAGACTGTGATTTGAGCGGCCCTCCTCAGACACTGTTTCTCAGGCATCTCAACAGCTGATTCACTGTGTTTGAGTTTTATTTGGCTCCAGCCCTACGGGACACTAGGATTGCACAGGTTGGTTGCCATGGATTTAAGACAAACTTGCGCAGGATGAAAAAAGATCTCCCCTAAAGCCCAGCTCAGCAGGGTGCATATTTGTGCACTGTGCGGACGACGTGCAGGAACCTCACAACCCGTGAATGAAAACATGCAGTCCTGAGAGACTTACTGACAGAGCAGGAGCAGGAGCGGGAGGGGGGAAGAAGTGATGTGCTGGAAAGCTCAAAGGCCGTTGGCTTGACAGTATGCCATCAGCTTAGTCTTTATTCTTTCTATTTTTTTCCTCCCCAGTTGCCCAACTATCTTTTGGCTGTGAAATGACTTGAAAGGCAGCGGTCAGGTTCATTTAAGGACGAGATATTGAAATGTTGTGCCATATTTCTCTGAAGAAGAGAGAGAAATGTAATGAACCATTACTGTGGGATGAGCTCTGCTTTGAAGCTCTACTCATAATTAACAGCTAAAGCGCTTGTTTTCAGTTATTTGCGTTACTCATTATGCTGAAACTATTGAGCACTTTTTCTACATAAAGGATGCCCTTGAAGATTTTTTTTTTTCAACTGTAGCCCATTACAAGCACAAAAACATGAGCATTAAGTCCCGCAAGAAAAAAGCATTTTAAATAGCATTTTATAGGTTCGTTTTATTTCTCAGTGTCTCCTGAGTGTTTCACAGTTATCCATCTACATTCCTCTAATTTCTTCATTCCCGGCTCCCTTCAGCTGCATCATATAAAAGACGCCTAATTGAAGGCTTCGCTCAAAACAAATGACCACATTAGCCTGCCCTCTTTTAACTCGTCCTTCTTCCTGTCTGTGGTTGTAATGCATTATACACTCTGCTTGTTCTCTGTTGTCTCTCAAATTACAGTGCAGGCTGCCAATCATTTTGAGACTCAATCTATGGGACTTGTCTCTCTGCATACACACTACCCACCCGCCTCTTAAAAGCCAAATCTTTCCTGTGCTCCACAAAAGTTTATGGTGAGGTAGAAGACTAATACTACAGGAATAATAAGAAGTGCTGAGGGCAGCCAGTCAATGTAAAATGTTTTTTTTTTTCAATTTCAAGATGATCTGTGAAGTTGTTGGCTGTTTTCCACTTCTATTATAATCTCAAAACACTCTAAACAAAACCCACAGCCACAAATAACAAACAACTCACTCATATTAATTCAGCATAATTGAACACTCCCTGGATAGGAAAGACAGATTAAATGCTTGACTTGTGTTTCTTTTATGTCTGCACATGAACAGTGCAACAGTTCTTTTTTTCCACTCTGTTAAGATCTAAGAACCTGCCAGACATTTCTGTCCCTCCGTGCTTCCCATACATATGGTGCCACAGTGAGTTTTTTTTCCATGTGACAAAGGCTCCTAAAACCTCTACGGCCAAATAGAACAATGCCACGTGGGTGGCGCTGTGTCTGTGTGTGGGTCTATATGTGTGTGTGTGTGTGTGTGTGTGTGTGTGTGTGTGTGTGTGTGTGTGTGTGTGTGTGTAAACAGATATTTTAGGCTGCGAGTCAAAAAGTCTGCAACCATATTTGAACAAGTATCAGCTTTCACCAGCACAGATTTGCTTCAAAAGCAAGACAAACAATATAAAAGCAGGAATAGATTAGAATATAAATCACTTTTTAACCAACAATGTCATAAGAGTACATATGTGATCTAACCAACAACTTTCAAGAGAAAAGATGCAGATGAAAGGACTAGTCAATAAAAGGTATCCTGTGAAGTTTTTGACTGCTGGCAGTGCTATGGAGAAAGGTTTTTTACGAGTGGTTTTTGTTTGTATCATGCGCACAAACAAGGAGCATATCTACAGTTGGTGGTGGTAAATCTTCAATAAATAAATTATTAGACAATTCAATAAATCAAGAAAAATATATAATAAACTCCTAAATAATGAAAATAGTTGCAACCCTAGTTTGACAATTAACTAAATCTCAAGAATAGCTGAAAAACAGTACATAATAGCTTTAATGCAATATTCAGAGCAGTTATGCTGCTGCTGTGACTCTAATATGCAACTTTAATTGCTGAACTTCTGTTGCCACTTGTATTATGCAGCTTGGATGTTGGAACAGCCGCCAGTGTTTGTTGACTGATGCGAGCCGATGTTGACAGGGAACTCTGTTTGGTTTGGCAGGAGCGCACACTCTCTGCCATTCCACAGAAGAAATCATGTGAGTGCTGCTCACAAACCGCTACCGGCTCCTGCAGCTGTATTCAACTGCGGCCCTGTGTGAACAAAAGCCTCAGTTCCTGGACTGTTAGAAGAACTTTAAGAGGCAGAAGGAAAAATACACCTTCAAAAAATTTCAAACGGAGTCTTATATTGAAGGATAAGGCTGGTGATATTCTATTTTTTTCCTATTGTAAAAGAAAAACTATAAAAAACCAACAATGACTTGATGCTACAAACAACAATTGACTGTGTAGTCAAAGTGCTATAACTAGCCTGAGCCATAGGGCTCCACTGTTGCCAAAAACATCAGTGAACCACATTGTTGCAGTGGGTGACATGTTCCTTCATTATGATGAATGTGGGCACTATAATTTATTTTGAGTGAAACCCCACACTAAACACTCACTACAGTACCAAATGTGTATTAATCCACATCTGAAAATAGTCCACAACAAATGCACTTTTTGCTCCTGTTTGAGAAAAGTCTGATAGAAACTACAGTGCTCTGCTGTTTGAGGAAATTATTTAGCCATTTTAGATAAGTGGAATTGTATATTTGTGACCTATTTTTAAAGATGTCCTCAGTTGCGAGTAATGGACTTGGGGATGAGTGCCTTAGTCAGGGTAGGAAAGTTATAAAGTAGTGAGAGATAAAGACAACGGAAATATGACAACACCGGCCCTATACTTTGAAAAACCCTGCACTACAACAACTTTCATAAGGTCAGCAATGTTTGCAACTTTGGTTTCAGTTAACTGCATTTTAGAGGTGCCAGTCTTCATAAACATCAGCATAGATGCTAAGCATTTTAGTTCAACTTCAAAACCTGAGTACACACATGAAACATCTGATGACAAAATGAGGGCATTGCCCCTGCAAACCACAACTAAAACACTGTGATCGTGCGAGACGCTCCTATAAATCATTTGAGTTTAGGAGGAGGATAACAGCACATCTTTAAACTGAGAGACATCGTTAAAGTGAATTGGTTTAATGATATGTCTGAGACTGTACATTCAAGTCATAAGCTCTGTATTTGCTGCCCACCCATCCCAGCCGTCACATGACAGCTATCAGCTCCAGTGGGAGAAACATCCCACACTGGGCAGGGACAGCACGCAGACAGAAGGCAAGTTGTTGCCTGCCAGTCAACTGTCAGTCACTGCTGAGTGGAGAAGACAGGAAAAGATTGAGAAAAAGAGAATGAAAACAAATGCAAAGATGGAAATCTGTTTTCCAGTACTCTAAATATGAGGGTTTTATTTTATTAACAGGATACAGTGTAGCAGGGGCACCTTGGACAGGAAGTGAGGCTAGTAGTAAAAGGCCCCTGTACACATCCCTGACAGATATTTACCCATACAGATGGTCTCCTGAGTCTCCTACAGGAACAGCCAACCTTTCTAATCTCATGATCAGAGTGTGGAAGGAGGAAAGACCCTGCTCTATTCGCTCTGAAGTGGAGCCTCACTGCGCACACACACACACAGACTGACTCATCCACTGTTTTTACAGCACCCACACAAACCCTTACTCCTCAGCATATACTCGGAAATACAAACAAACATCTACACACATACAATTATCCACATAAACATGAGTGAGCTTATCTCAACACGCGTTTTTTGGGAAGCTTAACCCTTACAGCGGTGACGCCTGAGCAAAGAAACCCAGTCAATTCCTACCTTGAAATGCAGCCACATTGCGTGCGATGAGAAACTTAATGCTGGTGCTGGACATCTGGAGAAGGTTCTGGATGTCTCTCCGGGCCGCCAACTGGTACTTCTCCTCCATCTTTTTGGTGCAGCAGGTCAGGTTCTTGGACATGCACACCTGAAGGTCTGAACCTAAGAGTCATTGGGAATAAATGTTACGATCCTTCAGAACAGGTACATGTTGGGTTCCTGGGTCTTTCAAACACCACCAGGTAGCTTATTTCTTTTTCTGAGAAACTAACGTTTATCTCTGTTACTCGAATGCAATACTAATACACAAGAAGCCTAAACTGGGGCTTATACAATTCAAAGACACGTAAGTCAGGTGGATTTTGACACCTTAAATTGCCCAGAGGTGCGAATGAGTGTGTCCAACTATCTTCAGTATTATCTGACTGGCAACTGTCCAAACTGACAAGCAGCTTTTCTTCCTTTAGCAGCATCAGCAAGAGATCAAGAGTCTACAGTAATGCTTTAGCTGCACTGTGAAGCTGTAGTACTTACTGCTTTGAGCTACATGTTAACATTAACATAACTTGGCGATATTACCATGATGCTGTTAAGCAGGGATAATCTTTACCATGTTGACCATCTTAGTTTATAGTGTTAGCTTGCTAGCCTTTCCTAATTAGCACTAAACACACATTTTGTGGGTATTTACCCATATTAGACTAATTTAAACTGTTTGATGGTGCTAGGTGTGATGTTATCACAAGTCATCCTGTGGGGAACATGAGGGTCTGAACCAACAGTTGTTGAGACATGTCAGTAAACGTCAGCCTGTTGGTGTTGCTACAGGAAAAGTTAGGACATCACGTCAGCAGGCTTCATCCTTTGGGAACCATAAATGTCTGTACATAATATCATGACAATCCATGTTCAGATATCTCAGTCTAGACCGACCAACACTAGGCACACTCTTAAAAAGTATTAGGAGATCAAGATCACGTCTGTGTGAAACATCAGAAGTTATTTCAAAGCCATCACAGTGGTAGACATACCTTAAACATCAGGTAAGAAGCGATACAATACTTGTGTTTTTCTAGCAGTGCACAAGTGAAAAATTGCTTTAGTGGAGCAAGAAAACCAAAACATCTAGATCCTGAGGGGCGATCTGAGTCAAAGCGTTATCGCCTCACAAAGTGATGTCTCAGATTTTCCCCCCATGAACAAATGTAAGCAATCTGCACACATACGGGGCAATCAAAACATCTTGAAAGCTACCTAAAACTCTGCAAAAGCCTCTCTGACATGCCTAGGCAGAGCTGTTGCCAGAGACGATATCAGCTCCCTACGAGGTTCAAGAGTGAGGAGGAAGCCGAGCAGGCGATGGCACACGTGGTGGAGGAATTCAAACTCTTCCAGATAGGACAACATGAAAACAGCCCAGGCCTTGCTTTTCTAACCTAAACGCTTCCCAGAACTATTTCCACTTCCAACAGCACAGACAACAGCTTTTGTTTGGCCGAGGTGATAGACTTCTGACTTGCTGTGCTCTGACCTATACTGAAGGCTGTTTGGCACTTCTTATCAGACAGGCAGCGTCAAACATGGAAACAGCTCACTCTCCCTCTCGGATTCCTGGAATTTCTGGAGGTTATTTTTCACAGGCCCGCACTCAATTATAGATAACTTCTAAAATCATGCTCAAGGATCAACTCTACATCTTGCCATCTCCCATTACACTATCTTACGCATTTCAGCACATTAATCTGCATCCATCAAGGAAACAATTTCCATCTTTACAATGTCAAGACGAATCTGGACTTGGAAGACCTTTTAGCTGCTGCCAGAAAGGTCAGTGGAGGTGCAGCTTTAAGCAGTAGCAAGTGTTTTTACAGGGTGAGTAGCTACTGAGGCAGGAGCTTATCATCGCTTAAACTGCAGGAGGCCCCCACTGCACACAATTTATCTCAGAGAAAGTCATTTTCAGTCTGCAAATGTGCAAAGAAACAGAACAGGGGTTTAAATCCACACAGGCTCATTTAAAGGGCAGGAGTGGTGATGGTATTATAAGGGTTATTTAGAGGTTTAGGAGGCATTTGAGGGTTTTCTGTCAATTAAATCTGTTTCCTCACAGCAGCAGAGGAGACCAGTGATGAAGTTTATAGGGAGCAGTTTGTGGCAGGATGGTAGTCAACACCATTAAGATTGACTTTTCCAAGAAGAGCACGGAGAACAGTGGTAGCAGCAGCAAGCTGTCCACTCAATTACAGCCCGTATGAAATATCCACACCCCGTAATCCCCCCCCTCCCCCAACAGAACTATCATGTGGAATTACATTATGGGTGGTGTTCAGAAAGTTAAGTGAAGCCTGGTTCACCTAAGTTCATGCAAAATGATTCATGTTTATCCCAGCAAGCCACTTATCTGGTTTAGACAGCCGAAAGGAGCAGAGTTTGGTTTCTTTTTCGTCACAACCAACAAGTAACCTCAGCACCTTTATGTCCTAGTTTCACAGAGTTAAAACAGCACTTTTTTTAACTAGCCCATGCACCGCTGGTAATGTAGTGAAGTAAACAATAAGCAATATACTTGTACTGGTACACTCTAGCTCCAAACATATTCCTGTTGCTTGAAAATGGGTTGAAAATCTGCATATTTGAAATATTTCATCATATATGAAGAACCTGACATAGTAGATGCCCAAAGATTAGATATCACTCCAACAGGGGAGGAATGGAGCTGTCTGAGTTTTCATTCTTGCAGTATTTCCTTTAAATATCTTGATTTAAAAAGTCAAACAAACAGAAGCAAATTCAACAGCTCAAAGCTCTCCTCCTCTAGTGTCTATATTATTATCACAACTGCACACACGCCTCTAAAATGTGTTTAAAAAGGTGTTTTGTAACTCCAAAGAGCACTTAACAAGACAGAAAATGACAGGTTAAAAGCTACAGTGCAGTTAATGAGTAGCAAGGTCGAATAACTTCTCCAGAATATTTCTCTCAGTCAGTGGTTGACATGTTGATGTAAATGAAAAAAATGAAAAATAACAGAAATAAAACCAAGAAAAAAAAATAGCATAACAATTTGTGTTACCATGTGTGCTGGCAAGAACGCCATCCCCCCAAAAAACACACACAAGACAGTAACACACAGACGAGCCTACTCTTCAGTCTGGAGGGTAAACTTCAACATACCTGGTCGGGGACTTATTGGCAATAATTGAATTGGTCCAATTTGCCTGAGTTGGAAAACTTTGCGCACTTCGTCGCATCTGTTTGGGCTTCCAAACCCTGATCCACAGCAACAAGCCAGGAGGAAAACGCAGTTCGTCCAGAGTGCACCCATTTTAATAAAACGACCGGTTAATACTCCCAAATAAGAAGCCTGGTTGGAAATTAAGGTTTCTAAACCTTTAGCAGTCCGGGTCTCAGGTGAGTCCCGTCCACATTTCAGGTTTCAGGATTTAGCGTCGACCATGTGGCGTTTGTGTTTCTGTCGATGAAACGCTGCGGATGATCATTTCGACCCAGACACAGAGAGAAAGTTGCTGCGGTGCGACTTGCTAGACAACGGCATGTTGTCCAAGTTGGTTGGACCGACAGCAGAGGCGGTACCGTAACGTTACCTGCACTCCGCGGCTGCATCTACAGCTGAACAGCAGCCAGACAGCGCCATCTAGTGGACAGCTCCCAACTTCAGTCTAGGGCTAGAATTTGTTTTTAATGACAGTTTCATCCTGTGTAGGCTAAATAAATCTTCAAACCGGAAATGATGTTAGTTAGTTTGAGGAATAGTACCGTGGAATTTGAAAGATTTATTCCCGGGCTCATTCATGGAGATATACAGGATTTATGCAAAATTCTGCCAAAGTATCTCAAATGACATCTGACCACTTAAATAGTGCTTTTTTTTCCCAGTCACTTGAAGTGACAAATAAGAGGCCATATTTTTTATTTTTTATTAAATTAGAAAGCAGACATTTAGGACTGTACAGATGTGCTGGTCTTAAATAATGCAAAATGCATATATGTTTTGTCCCTCATTCAGTCCAAACCAACTTGTGTTGTTTGCACCAACATTTACATAAATATATATGGTTATGTTTAATTTCCTAAATCTAATGTGCCATATTGATTTGTAACACGATTTTTTTTTTTTTTTTTAACGTATCAACCAAAACTACAGATTTCAGGTTCACTTCAAAATGATTTTATAATACATTTTGCTTGGCATGTTCTGTTTTAAATGCAAACTGTGATTTATCTGCTGCCACTCATCTGAGGCGTTTTATCTGGGGCAATCACTGCAGACCACACCACAGCTTGATGTTATGAGATTAGAACACATTTAATTTGTGGTCAACGTGACTGTACTTAGTATATTGGAAAATTGTTTAATTTGATTGCATGAAGTGTGAATAGAATCAAAAGTTGTTCCTTGTAAAAGAGTTTCTTACAAAGTGGCATTACAAAAGATACCTTGGTTCAAAACCCTTTCAAAAAGTTTCTACTTAAAATCCTACTGAAACATGTACAGGGTACTTCAACAACTTTAAGATCATTAATTGTGAAATACACACAAAGGCATCCAGAGAAGAAAAAAATGTTTAAGAAATTTAATATATTACCAGCAATATTACAATCAACCACTTCTAAACACATGCAGTTTATATAGATCAAACTGGCCAAAACATCACAGGACATGTAATTGAGTGCAGCAGTTTTCCTATCAACATTCAGGTCAGGATCCAGGTCAGCTCCATCTCCTCGTTCCTACACAGGCCGGGACAAGTGCAATACCTCCAGGTACACAGCATTGCTACTAATCCCCACCTGCACAGGAAGGGACATCTCCACATATCCGAAATATCTCACACTCACACACGTAAATACTCGGTATGCAACAAAAAATAACATCTTGATGAAAAGCAATCCCACCTGGCAAAGCATAACTCATCAGCCTAGTCAGTTTTGCATGGATTTGCACAGCGAACATCAGTTAAAGCTGAATGCAAACCAGCAAAACTGACCAAGTGATAATTAACCGCTGAGTCTTGGATTATTATAGACATCAGATCTTCATAAAGACGCAGTTAGTTAGAAGTACTTCAAGTGCTTACATTGCAGTAGATAGGAGAAAAACACTACCTGCACTATAAGCACTTTAGTACTGCTGAAACTGAGGTCAGTGTATGAGAACTGGCAAATGCTCCTGGTTTTTAAACAGCATTTCAAGGCATATTACGCAAATCAGATTGTGTTTGATGTGACACCCCCAAAACCAAACATCTAAGCAGGTGGAGAGCAAGCAGGCCACCATCAGTTTTGCATAGATTTGCACAACTCATCTATTCTTGTAGTGCAACTATGCAAAACTAGCAGAGAACTGCGAGATATTTGAGCCCAATTAGAAATTAAAAATGGTCTGGTGGTGCATATCACAGCCCCTTATGCCAGAAGGAGCACTTAGGGCAGTAGGTGCTAGTCTATTTCACTATCTGCACTAGATGCACCTTAGCACAAAGACAGTACTTCAAATGACATGTAACATCAAAGAATCTGCACACCAGTGTCAGGGTATTGCTGTAAGTGCCTCCACTGCAGTAGGTATGACATAGTACTACCTGCACTGTAAGCACTTTGACAATACACAGACTGATTTTAGCATCACTGCCCTCCAGCACCACAGGAAAAGATGATCACACTGCTCCATGTTTGGGGCCTTGCACATCATAGTGGATCTGGAAATACAGAAAGGACACATAAGACAGATTATTACAGGCAATAAATATGACTTTATGGCTTGCAACAAGTTACATAGGCAGATGGATGTGTGAGCACGTGTAACCAATTTATTGCAATCTAAAAACGTGTAACCTGCATCTTTTTACCATCATATATGTGCATTGGTTAATCGATAATTACAACAGTCTGCTGTTGTGGTATAAGATGTTATGATTTATTGTAGCAGCACGAGGTCAGTGAAAACATGAATGAGCAGCGCAGCCTGCGGCCCGCGTCCCTGCGACACGGGAGCGCCTGCGCGGGGCACGGTGTTGTTCACCCCTCCCCCACCGCCTTTAACATGGCGCCTCGAAGTGCGCCAACCTTAGCATAAATGACTTTAAACCGACCAAGCTAAACACAAACGTTGTGTTGCACACAAAAATTGAAGTCTGCGTGTTGTTTATTTAAAAGGAAACACCGTGGCCTGCGGTTTCGGAGCTTCTAGAAAACAAGGCTACCGTCCATGCAGGAGCAGAGGCTAGCAGCACACAGCAGCCGTGCGCTGCGCTGGTTGAGCTGGTGCTAGCCTTGTGAAAACATGGCAAATCGTGTTTACGTTACTCCAGTTTACCAGCACTGCCATAGGGAGGTGGCACAGGGGCAGCCAGGGTGTTATTAGTGAAACAGCTGGCTCATTTTTGTGTCTGGCTCTCCGGGTAATAAAATTGGAGTTGAGTTTGACGACACTGATTAGCTGCTAGCCAACAACAAATGAGCACACGTTTGAAAATACGCCAACGGTGCATCTGTGCCGCTGGATTAGCCACATTTACCTACTCTTATCTTTATGTTACTTGGTTACCTGCATTTATAATATTATGTTTTTGCTTACCCCACAAAACTACAACGTTAAGTTTATGCGGCTAGGCTAAGCTAGCTAAGCTAAAACGCGCGGCCTAAAACTGCCCCATGTGCTGCTGCTTTGTTCTGGGGGGCACTTTAACTCACACACCACTGCACTCGAGTCTGAGCAGCGATTTAACCAGATATACAAACTTACTTTTCAAATATCGCACTATAGTGTTTATTTAAAGTGCGGGGTTGTTGTAAAGAGGCTGGATATTTGTTTAACTAGTCGCCAAAGCGCAGTGGAGAAAGCTCCGGACAAGCTTTTCAAATCTCCCTCATTCCCTCAATGGTGGAGCTGAGGGGGCTGCCATGCGCCTCACGTTACACTGTTTTCATCGCCAACATCTCATTTATGTCTTACTGTTTGGATATCCCCCCACTAGCGTGATATGAAAAGGCGTAAAAACAAGCGTAAAACACACCGCTGATGATTTCATTCACCAAAACAGAGATTAAAAAATAACCCGAAACCCGACTTCCTTGCCGATAAACATGCGCTCGGCAGACACTCACCAGCCGAAATCCACCATCTTCGCTCACTTGCTTGGGCTGCCGTGTAGTCTCTCACCGACAAAAAAGAGAGGAATAAATACGTAACTATCCCGAAAACTTTTCTACCGACGGACAAAAACGACACACAAAGTGCAATCCGAGCCGATCGTGAGTGAATTTACAGCCCAGAAACGTTGGTTAAAAATGATTGCGGGGTTGGGAAAGTGGCGCGAAGGCGACCAGTTGGTAACCATGTGGGTGAATGAAGGGCGGCTCCCACTGAACGTAAATATCTAGCTACAACCCCCAACTCTCCACATTAGCATACATAAACTACGGTACTTCCGACACACAGCTCCAACCACCCTCTCCCAAGGAAGGAGAGGGAGATAGACACAGATCACTGCTGTTTTCCTTTAATGTGACAATTATATGCATGCATAGCGGACAACAGCCTGCTTAGTCATACAGTTTGATGGACATTTAAGTTTTGCAGTGTAAAGAAAAAATAATCACAAATAAACCAGAGAATCCGTTTTTATTTTAATCAAAATAATTAAATAACTATATTCTACATTGACCACATTTGTATGCTCGTTTAACCACAAGAATAAAACGACTAATTAACCTGTTGCTGTACCACAACACTTTAAAACCACGTATAAAAATAATGTAAAACAATGTATTGACCTGTAGCTCACATATAAATTTGTTTAATTTTGGTCGGCCTCCATACAGAGAGACAAAAGAGAAAAAATGTTTTTTAACATAATAATTCCCGAAATAAAACACGTTTTTCAGAGTTTTGTAAATGAATTAAGGCCACTTTTAAATATGCAATGAAAAATCCACTGGTCAGTCAGTTATACTCATACTCATTAGCAAGTGTGTGCAAACTCATATGACCAAAATAGCCTATGTATAAAACAGCAACAACAAAAAAGTAAATTATTTAAGCACTCATCATAAACCCAGAGTCTGTGGGTTGTGAACAGTAGGATGAGGGTCTATTAAAAGTATGTTTTTTTCACTGATAATAACATTTTATTTTCTTAAGTCTATGAAATTAAAGGCTTAAATGTTCAGTGAAACATTCAGGTAATTAAATCATAATAGGTCAACAGTGATGTCAGATTACAGGTAGTTCTCTAAATTTAGCTTTTGAAAAAATGTATTTTATTTTTAAACTATTTAGAGATACAGCAATGAGTGGTGGGTTGGAATCAAAGTTTTGCTCTGGGTAACACCTCAACAACAAAAATCCACAAAAGTTCTACATAAATAAGTTCAAACAAATGAATGAAATGAAAACATTTGTAACTGAAATATAAATTTGATAACAAATGAGGACACAATAAGTGAAATAGATGAGGAAGTTTTTAGAATCAATTTAAAGAATTGTTTTAATGCAGTAAAGACATTCTTTATGTCTCTCAGTAATCTTTTTGTGTTTTCCTTTAGAATAGTTCAAGGGAAAATATACCAATAACCCAAATTATATAAAACATAAGATATTTGGTGAGTGCTGTGTGGAAAATTATAGTAATTAAAACTTGTTTAGGATTATAAAATGTTAAGAATCATTTTGTGATTTGAGTTCCTCTCAAATAAACTAAATTATCTGTAACATTTCATGCTCACAGAGAGCTCACAGTTATTGTGTTCATGCCCTGGTTTTGTTTTCTTCTCAGATTTAAAACAAACCGTCTGGACGTTGTGGAGACTTCATGAGCAAAGGCATAAGCCAACAAACCACAACAGAGGAGCAGTCAAGTACTCCAACTAATTTGGGGCCTTCAAACAGGATGTAGGGCCCAGACTCTTTCTGCATCTTGTTAAAAGTAAAATCTGAGTAGATTCATTTGAATGTGTGAAATCAAAGAATTGTTAAAATACTTCTATAGTGACATACAAGGCTTGGATCAATACAAGCCTCCAGTAAACGCTTCAGATGTTTGCTGCACCCTGCAAAATTGACTTTTCTGCATTTGTATCAATTATAATGATTTGTGCACAGGAAGTTTTGTGGACTGTTTTGAATATAAGCTCCCAAACTTCAGTGTTTTTTGTTTTCAATTATGTTTATGAAGGTTTGCACTTTGATGAAAAACAGTTAGTTATTCATTACCAGACAAAATCTTAAAGATCATTTTATCATGAATACAACATATAACTGAAATGGCATTTCTCACTCACCTTTATATCTGCACCATTTACAGTCAGAAATAATATACAGCCACCACTGCAGGAGAGTCACTACTTTTACCTTACTTTTAAAATTAAGATTTTACATTAGAAAAAAAACTATGATAAGCTTATAAAATACAATTCCTCCCAGAATAAACAGGGCATTTGGGACCACTTGTCATGTTTCAGATGTTTGTGAGTTGAACTAATCATGCAGTTTCATTTAAATAATTGTTTAAGGCTTGAAGATGTAAAACTATCCAATATTTTCATTTTTTTTTACACTGTTGTATTGGTAGGCTACTTAAATGTTTTGAGTACTTCTTCCACTACTGGAGAGCAACCGGTGTAGCTTAAAAAAAAAAAAAGAAGAGCCCTTCTATTGATTTTTTTCGTTCACAACACAAAGATGTAAATACAATGAAATAAATGATAAAATAAGTGTTTTTAAAAAACAAAAAATACCCAGTACGTTTGCATCGAAGTGCAGGCTAACAAAGAAACAGGAGATAGTCCCTTCAACCATGGAAGCTTCCAAATCCATTTCCACCTTTCCCCCTTAACCTGAGCCAGTTAGTAGTTAAGAGTATAACCGAGGTTTTATGAAATGCTTTAACGGCTTTTACCTTTTATCATCTGCTGAAATATGTTAAACCCTGTGAATTGTCAAAAACATTTGCATGATACAGTATAGTAGCTGGCCAGCAGAGGGAACTAAATACTGTACTATAACAATATAATGGGTTTCCAACTGTAAAAAGAAACACTAACCACAACTTCCCCATCAGGGTTCCGGTTGTTTAAAAAAAAAAAAAAGGAGAGGGAAAAAGTCATCTTTACATAACCCAATGAGATTCAGAGAAAAGACATAAGAATTGAAGCGAAGCAGCAAATCAAAAGGTCTAAGATTTCAACTTGTTTCAGTGTGGAGCCCCTATGTGATGCACGCTGATGTTTCTGTTAACTCAGACAGACGCGGTGCGAGATATTATCGTCTTCTTTTACCAGTGCTGTGTGTTCACCGTTCCTCCAACTGACCAACGACTAGACATCTTTTCACCCTAATACCAGAATATCTGTTCCTCTCCACTCCTCTGGGCACACTGTGGGAGTGGGAGTGCTCAGTCATGACCCCCAACCCCCAACACAAAGCCAGTGGTGGGGCTAGTTCCTCTGCATATGGAAGTGAGGTGGGGGGTGGGTGGACACAGGGAGGTTTTAGACTTCACATTGTCCCATGGGGTCAGATAAAAGCTTATGCCTCTCCTTATTAAACACCCCCCACCCCTTTTCAAGCTCTATGTTCTCTGCACAAATGACAGTTAAAAGATTTATCAGAGCAGGTATCAGTTGCAAAAGCATTTTAGCGCACCTTCCATGTGCTAGTTTATATTATTTAGGATGAAGATGAAGGAAAAGCCGTCATACATATGAAGAATATAAAATCATTGTTATTTCTACTGTAAAACCGAGCAGAGAGAAGACTTCCCAGGTAAAATGCGGAACTTAAAACCACATGCTGGTAGCACTTATGATATTCAAGCCTGTACCTGAGATCCAAAACATCCCCTCTCATGCAACACCACTTCTGCCCCTTTTTTTCTAAAATGGCCTACCATATCCAAGCCCCGCCCACGACAGGGGCCATGAGCCTGGGGGTCTCTGTTTTGTTCTTCCTATAGAAGCCTGGCCACCATTGTCTCCGTGTGACCCTGGGGTCAACTGAACTCACCTCTCCCGACCGCAGCCCATTCAGCTGTGAAGCTTCACATGGGACAAAAACATCTCACAAGAGCAAGGATCACTCCAAGCGAGGGGGTGGGAAGACACACACACACATGCACACAGACAACGACCACGCTCCTCAGTGCTTCAGAGTCACAAGCAAATTTGTGTTATATTCTTTTTTTCACAATGTAGCGAGCATGAGCCGTGCACAAGTAGTTCAAAGTGATCGAAAAATTGACTTACAAACGCAGTGTCGTTTATTAGAGCGTATAGTTCATTGTATAGTGAGGATAGTATGTTTCCCCATTGAAAACATAAAGAGTGGTTTAGATTGGCCAAGACATGTTGAGTCTATTAATGAAGTCGATTATAGAAAGGATTAATGAAGTTATCTTTGGCACATTTTCTATTAACTCTCCTTCAGATATTTTAAATACATCGCTTGCCAGAGGGTAAATTGCGTTTTGCTGCAGGATAAGAATGAGGCCGCCCACACCTGTCATCTGCAGCTCCTTTTCTATCAGGCTACAGGCCAAAAAGAAAAGTGGTTCACTGTGGAGAATGTAACCTAATTCTCTCAAAAGTTTTACTGGAAATTTTGTCAAAATGTCCTTTTTTGAAAATGTTTTTTTTTTTTACATAGCCAGTTTACTTAATCTTTCTGGAAAGACCCTGTTTAATTTTAACAGAGTATTTCCCTGTTTGATGCACAGAGCACATGTCCTCGACATCCTCTAGGCTGGCTTCTTGCATTCAGAGGCAACAGTGTCCCTGGTGGAGAGGAAGCTCATGGAAGCTGACAGGTTGAAAATGTGTTGCATGATGTGGCCGAAGGAGCATGAAACATGTTCACCCATGGATGCTGTGTACAGCGCCACAAGAGAGACTGTGAGACAATTAAATGCTAAGTGTTTTCATGTTAAAATGTATTTTCTTTACCTTCACAGAATTTTTTTTTTATAGGGAGATTATAGCAAATATGACAGTGCAGCCCAGTGAGAAGTTCAGGGGAAATTCTAAGAAAAAAAAGCCTTCTTTTTGTATCTTGTGTCCTGCTATGTGCAAGATTACTATTAAGACACTAAAGACTCTTACACAGAGAGGTTACAAAATATTCGGGCTACACTTTCCAATAAACTATATCAAACTGTATTTTGCGTGATGTCATTTGTTTGTCCATTCAACCTAATAAGACAGAGTGAGAAACTCATCATGCTGCTCTAAGCTGCAGAATGACAGTCACTATCCCAGGAGCACCATTAGAAGTGTAATGAAGAGACATGCTCCTCTGGGCAGGGCCTAATTTTATGCCTTCAACCTCCAAAAATCATTCAGAAAATAAATGGTTTTTAGTTTTAAAATAGTTCCACATCAACCACAGCTGAAATGTCTGAAAGTCCTTTCAATATAATACACTGGCTATAAATGCTGAATAGGACCACAGTCGTATGCAAATAGTGGTGCTGCTGTAACTTACCGCTTTAAGTCATCATGTGCTGCTTAGTAATTTTGTAACTACAAGGAGTATTGAGGGAGTGCGCTGTGATTTATTTGCATTTATTCTGGTTCAAACTTTCACTTCTCCATTGTTTTCCATTCCTTTTCAGCCTGTGTGTCAGGGTGACAGTAAAAATGAAACTACTGACAAATGGTCCAGTTTTTTAAACTGTAACGAATAACAAAACCATTCCTGTGTTGAGTTATAATCAAATTTCAAAAGAAGATTTTTGTAGTACAGAGCCCTGGCTATAGTGCAGTATGTTAAAAAATGTTTAAAAATGATTATCGATGTTTAAATTGCGGTTGACATGAAATAAAAAGATGAGTACAGAATCCCTTGAAATTGTTTTTACTTTAATAAACGCCACAGAATCATGATTTTCATTTCACTGAACAGCATTTCAAACAAAGTTTACACACTTCGGTTATGAAAAATCTATATTCAAGCGCCCGCAAATTTAGTGTGTAGGAGTTCAATATCAATCTTTGTCAACGGGGTTATCAATAAATTAAATAAAATACACATATACTGTACATCTGAAGCTGCCACATTCAGTGGCAGAGAGACACAACTGATCTCTTTGTAAAAACCAAAACAAATTGGTATTTGCTGAACACTTCCGGACGTATCTCACAAAAAACTAACCGAACACAACTACTGAATGACGTGTTATGACGCACCAGTTTTCTCTCTGATTGTCTCTTCACTAAGAAAACAAAGTGGTACAACAGCTTTTTGTGCACTCGGTGCAGTGTGACCGGAGCAAGTATAAGACTGACATTTGTCCGTCGACGGTCAGTGCAACACCGCTCTCGCAGAAACTCCCCACATTTCTTCACACGATACAAACTTTACAACTGTAGCCATGGGAGCATTGTGTAATAGACTACAGCCTGTAGTGTGTCCACAAGGGCTGAAATTTATTATCAACATATTAGCCAAAGACTGACATTAGAGCAGAAAACACTAGACTTTGTAGTAGATGTTGGTGGGAGTCTGCGGCGTTATCTCCTGAACTATGTACACAGGGGGCCCATAGTCGGTGCTCACACGCTCGTAGTGACGGCACACCATGCTGTCAGAAGCTCGCAGAGGAAAGACAACATCACTGCGGTCTGAGCCGTTGTTGTCGCTGCTGATGCTGTCCCGCTTCGGCACAGCCAAAGTGTTGAGGGACACGGAGGCTGACTGCTGGCTCTCAGGGACACAGTGACGGTGATGGTACCTCCACAGCAGGGCCAGCAGAACTATGATGACCAGAAGGAGGATCGCACAGCCAGAGAAAACCCACATGAACAGTCCTGACTCAGAGCCGCCGCTGGGGTTTGTTTGTCCTGTTTCTGATCCTGCGGCTGTCAAACAGAGACAGAGGAAAGGCCAGGCAAAAAAAAAAAAAAGGAAGGAGAAACTGAGATGAAAGAGTAAACAAGGACATGCAACGCAGAGATTTAAAAACAGTTTCACTCAGTTTATGCCCTGGTACAGGACCGATCAGTATGTGTAAACATGAAAAACCTCTGTCAAAGCTGGACACTGGAGAATATGCTCTAATCTTTAGTGTCACACTGATAAAAAGCCTGGTGCCTTCTTCTATCACTGAGTGAGCCAGTGAGCCATGGTCACTGAAGCTTTGTATATAAACTGGAATACGGAGGAATTGATAAATCCAAATAGTAAAGAGAATGCTTTTTGATCCTTGCGTGGATACAGTTTTTCATTTCTATTGAAATGTGTCTGTTTGTAGATCCATAAGACGCATTAGATGTAACAGGAAGGTCAAAATATTTCATTTTGTGGAGCATCTCAATGATTCTGTGAGCGGAAATTTAGGTATATTCCTCCTTAAGGGCTTATATTAGTGTTTTTGCATGTTGGTGCCTGTTTACCTCAAATTACATAGACATAGAACAAATCCCATGAAAACATTACACCAACAATGAATTGATCCTTCTGATAAGTATTGTCAGAGCAGCCAAAGCATGATAAACCATATTCCTCTCTGGCCCCGATCAAAAACATATCAGTGAGCCACATCACTGCACATGCTCTTTCGTTACGATGGGATGCAGTTTAATTTAAGTAGATCCCACACACACCGTCCTGCTGCTGTAAATACTCACCCATGCAAATTCATGGCTGAAAACAATCCTTAACTAATGCAACATTTATTCCCTTTTGCCGAACAACTGCTAAAAACCACAAAGCCCCATTTCTTTAGGAAAATATTTAGCCTTTTTCTAAATATGAACGTATGTATTTGTGACCTGTTAATAAAGACTTACACCTTCACTAGGAACCATATCAGTTTTTTTATACCATTTTCTTTTGCAGAGGTGTCCTTGGCCTTGGGCTTTGGTCGTGTGGGTGGGAATCTGGTGGGGGACTCCTGGAGTGTTGAAGGTGGGTCTGAGGAGCCTGGAATATAAAGCAGGACAGTTGAGCAGCTGACATTAGTAAAATCACAACATATGGCTTCTAGGACCCTTCCTCACGTCTCATTTTCATTTGTCATTGTGGGGTAGGCCATGGGATCATGTCATGACAAAATGGTCCTGTTGAAAATACAATGTTGAATAAATAATGTTTGCGTCAGTCTCCCAGAATCAAAGCAAGAAGAGCTTCTTTCTTTCTGGACTGATTGTAAATATGGAGGAGTGTTGTAAGGTCTGAGAAAATTACATCAAATGACAAATCATGAATAATATGATGTGGGCATATACTCTTATACATTCATGGCATTTACCAGGCAGGGAGGATTTAATGAAAGGTAATTCCTCTATGGGAAATGTACAGGATCCAGCATTCTTGGAGATTTACCCCTGTAGGGACTAAAAGGATTTCTCAACCTCTGCTGTAACTAAATACATTTATTCAAATACCATACTAAAGAAACCTGTACTTTGAGTATTTTTTACATTTTATTTCACTTTATACTAAAACATTTCAGAAGGAAATTACTGTACTTTTTACATAACTACACATATTTAACAGCTATACCTATAGTTACTTTCAAATTTAGATTCAAATTAAGATTTTACAAGATGCCACAAGTGTACAAAATACAACACATTGTTGAAAATTAAACCAGTGGTTTCCACCCATTTTAGTTTGTGACCCCTCACGAGAAAAGCAGTGAGCAGCATTTCAGATGTCTTCAGATGTTGTCAGCAATTCCCCCTCTGAACTTCAAGTCAGGTAAAATTATTATCATTAAATTATTCAGTCTTTCACAAAACAAAGCCAAAATTTCATCCAAAGTCCAAAGAATGGAAACAGATTTGTTTTTTCCTTTTCCCCTACTCCCTTAATCATCTCATAACCTCTCAGATTTATCTTGTGACCCCTTGGAGGGGAGGACCCCCAGGTTTAGAACCACAGGACTAAACTAATTAACTGAATACAAAGCACCATGACGACCATGGTGCACCACGACCAGCTAAAACAGTAAATTGCTGTTTCCATACTGATGCATCAGCTTTAATCTAATAATGTCATGTATGATCATTTATCCGCGCCAGGGACAAAGAGAATACTTTTACTTTGACAGTTTAAGGACATTTTGCTATTAATGGTTCTGTACTTTTACTTAAGTTGGATTTCTCGAGTAGGACTTTTACTTGCAACTGTATTGGTACTTTTACTTAAATAAAGGATCTGAATACTTCTTCCACCTCTGCTTTTTCAGTCTCTCACAAGTCCCTCAGCTTTATGGGAGCGCAACACCAAATCCCTGGAGCGTGTCTTTAAGTAGAGAAAGATGTCAGTTTGAAGGAAAATATGGAGGCCAGCAAAAAAACAGGCAGTTTTCCCCAAATAAATACAACCAGGAAATGTACTGCAAGATGCACATGCTATGGCCTTTGAGTAAAGTAAATTGAAATTTCATTTAGAATACTTTTATGTATTCATTTCATTTATAGATTTATGAGGACAACATACAGTAAACAACATTTTTGTATGTTCCACTGTTAGCCAGCCCGCAAGTTTAAATTTTGTTTCACTGCATTAACATTCATTTACCACTGATGTTCATTTAAATTTTGCTCCCTACACATTCAGCTCTAAAAGCACAAACCAAACAGATGGGTCACTGCAATCCTGAAGATCTAAAAACAAGACTGGAAACAGCAACGACTGACAGGACTTTTAATATATGCAGACCTTAACAAGAGATTACAACTAAATTTGAGTTATTAATGTTTTCTGTTGCTGTTTACACCAGTAGTGTTTGTAAACACAGCAGAAAAACAACCCCATATTTCCAGTTATGATCAGTTGAGAAACACACAAAATGCTGATTTTTCATCTCTAACTCCTTTGAATAATTTATATGAATAATACTTCACATTTCTGAGGGCAGAAAATTGCATTTTGAGACTTTAACACATTTAGCTTTTAACATTTCAGCAACATACACAGAAATGCAGCATCTGTCGATTTCTCTGATCATGTGGAGTTCAATAACACACCAAAATACATCACATGTATAAACAAGTACACTACAAACGCTTGTTTCTTCATGTATACAGTCACTTACCTTATACATAGATAAATAACACTGTTATTATATTGTTTTGATGGTTTATTATTTCTGTGTGAATATTGTATTATAGAGAGATTTCTCCTCTTTTAAAGTAATGGTAGTGGATATGCTCTGAATCTGCTTTATTAAATTTCAATGTATGTGATAAGTGCACAAAAGGAAAAAAAAGAAAAAAAGGACCATTGGCTATTCTGATGTTAATACAAAAAAAAAAGAAAAAAAACCCTATTGACTGCAATAACCAGTCCAAACGATGGCATGCAAGATAATACTGATGGCCTTAAGCTGCCAGTGGTTTGAATTAGGGATTTGAGATAATTCACGATGGCAATCTCTCTTCAAGAGAATGAATGGATGATCGAGATTATCTGACCACTTAGTAATTCCAGAGAGGCGACATTATTGCATTACACATATAATGACGAGAATGAAACTATTGTTGCAGTTGTTCCTTTAGCACTGTTTGTCAGACAGCTGTGCCTGTCTTGCACTCACACCCCTAGCCTTATACACATGCTGGCACACACACATACACAGACAAATTACTCACTTTGGCCGACTCTCAGCACCAGCTTCATGGATTTAGTTCTGCACACCCCTCCATTGGTGTTATCCAGACCTTGCAGAGCCCCTGTAGAAGTGGCTGATATACAGAGAGAGTAGGCGAACATTAAGTTTGTATTTCACGCAATCATGCGAATACAAGATTATCAGGCAACACATAGTTTCATTATGATTTCTTTGAAGACTGTTTAAGTTGCTGCATGTTGCATCACTTGCGCATGAAGATGCAGACACACATAGCGCAAATTATGATGTTACAAATTATATATTGATAATTACACATAAAAACAAAACATGCAACTAAGGCTGCACCAAATAATAATTCCCTTTAAAAAAAGAAGGAAAAAAAAAACAGTCAGTGCCCAATGTGACATCTTCGTATTGCTTGTGTTTTCTGACCAACAGTCCAAAACCCAAACATATTTGCTTTACTATCACATAAGACAAAGAATATCCTCATAAAACCCTTATTGAGCCAGAGATTGTTGCAAATTTTCCTTCATAAATAACATATGATTAATCGATTATCAGTGTACATCTAGCTGAAACTAAGGCAGTCTAATATAATAGTCCTGCAATAAATCATGAAGGTTAAAATGTTCAATTTTTGATGAAACTGATTACAATAATACAGTTCAACAGCACCCCAAACTATAGCCTTAAAAATGAACACAATCAACAGCTCTCTAAAACAGTCTCAATAAAAACATTATAACCTTCATGAAGGATTTATTGCAGGACCAGTGGCAACTAAACAGCCAGCTGAATGTAATTTTCTTGTTGAATCGACTGACCGATGAATCTACTTAATTTCAGCTTTAGGTGGTGGTGGGCAAAATGAATAAATAAAAATAAATGTATTAATTTAGTAGCAAGCCTTTTAAAGACATAACCTACATAGCAATAACTAAAAATACCAACATCTTCAAAAACACATAAACACACACACACACACCAAGAACTCTGCTTCACCCCTGTCAATCCCCCTTCACACACACACACACACACACACACATACATACACACATCGACTTGTTAGCAGCATTTAGGTCAGATAACAACATCTCACAGGCAACAAGCCACGTTGCCATGAAAGCTCCCATCAAATCTGCCTGATGCTGTAAAAGCCTTGTGTGATTTGGGGCATGTAAGCCCTTGGAATCACACTGGCCTTCCAGAGCGAAGTGTGTGCTGTCAGAGCGTGGCGAGGTGGATGAGGCTACATGGTCAGACTTGCTCTCTATCTCATGCATCACTTGCCACTAAGATGCTGGTTTAACCGACAGCGGTCCAATAACGAGGCCACATTTTTTTGATTCTCACGCAAACTGACAAATTGAGAGGGAGCCAAGGACGATGGCCTCCTCTTCTCCCCAGGAGAAAAAAAAGAAAAAAAAAGAAACAGTTGCTAGCATTGATTCAAATAATGTTCCACCTGTAGCAACAAGCAGCTCGTGTCTCTGTTCAACTGATTGTAAGATGTTGCATACGTTCATATGCACTGAGACAAACAACAGGTGACGGGTGTGGCAGGTGTTATCTAGACTAACTCACAGGTGATATAATAGTCCCTCCCCTTGAGAAACTCCAGACCCCACAGGTTGGGGCTGAACTCCTGAAACTTGAATGTGAACTTGACATCCCGGTGAGGCTTGTCACAGTTCAGCAGGGGTGTATCCGTCTTATCGATGGTGCAGCTCTCTATCTGACTTCGGGAGACCAGGTACACTCTGTAGAACTCCTCGCTCCCCCCCGAGGAAGCGTCTGCCCGGGGACACACAATGTCCATCTTGTCCCCTATCTGAGGATACAGGATCAGACCCTGACCTGGAGTAAACCTGTATGCAAGAGGGTGACAGTGCAACGATATAATGAAATAAATCTAATAGCAAATGGCCTATTAAACAGTACACACTGAAACATCATTATTTAATTCTCTGCTTGCACAAAGCTCTAATACCTCCTGGCAGTATCCAATGAATAAAGAATTAAGAATCATTGAAACATGCCCATCACAAGTAAAAAAAAGCTCACACAGATTGTTGTTTTTGTCTGAGGACAAAACCCAAAGATATTCAATTTTAAAGCTGAAAAGATAAGTTATCCAATCAATTTACTGGAACAACAGAAAATTAATCTGTAACTATTCTGATCACTGAATGACAGTCATTTTTCAAGCAAAAAAGAAAATCTCAGTTTCAGCTTCTCACTGCTGGTGTCCTTTGTCTCATGTGATAGTAAACGGAATATCTTTGGGTTTTGCACTGGAGATGGGACAAATCAAGCAAACTGTGCACAGCACCCTGGGCTTTAGGAATATATGAGGAGTATTTTTCATATTGTCTAACATTCTGTTGATAAAATAATTGATCAGTTAATGGGGAAAATAAAGTTTAATCATTTACAATGATACAGAACAGAGAAAAGGAACAAATCCATACACTGGAGAAGCTGAAAACAGTGGCAGTTTTGCTTCAAAAATTTAAACGATTAATCCCTTATCATAATTGTTATTAACTCATTTTCTGTGGTCTGCACCATTAATCGACTAATTACTTCACATATCAACACTGTAGCTCTTGATTTGCAGTGAATGGGTTGCTTCTCTTCTGTTTCACTTTGAATCAATGAGTTAGTTCACACCACATGGACAAAGCAGCTGCAGAAAGTTGCATCCAACGAGTGTGAAACTGAAGCATCCACCTACTTTGCATTGGAACTCGTCCAGTGGATGGACTCCAGAGTGGCGGCACGACACCAGCAAATGATGGCCAGCAGGATCACGGCACCGCAGCTCCATGCGCTTCTCCCCATCACAGGCAGGTACACGACGGCTCAGTATCATAAAACAGAATGAAAACAGGCTAAAATCTGTTGCCTCTGCATGTCTCCAGTGGCCCCAGGTGCGCGCAGACGACACATTCCTGAGTGAGATCCCACCAAGTTGCCAGTCTTCCTCCTGCAGTTGTATGAAATCTTCCACATTGTGCGTAATTGGCTAGAAAATCATTCGTGTGACGAAATCCGTGTATTGAGGACAGAGATTGTGTGGAGTATTTAGTCATCAGCTGACTGACCGGTCCGCCCATACACAGGCTCATGCGTACAGGAGACCGGGGCTGGTCGGCATTTTTTCCCCCCTCTCTCTCATGTACATTCCTCTACATTAACTGAAATTTAAAAAATCAACACCAATAAAACCCCGTATTTCTTTGGTGGTAATGGTAGAGATTGTATTTATGCTCCCACCGCCTTTAAAACTAAAAAAAAAAAAAACCGTAAAATAATCGGAAGTTATTTTCCCCACTTTTCCCAAAGGCACTTAGGCTTAATATATCCCATATCCACATATTCACATCTGTGAGAGAATTATCTATCATATCAACTATTTATTAATTATATTATATATATTATATATAATATTTAAGTAATTATTTTTCAGGTGAACCATGTTTTCTTGTTGCAAGTGTTTTTTTAGGAGTTTTTCTACATGTGATGGATTGTGGGTTAAATAAAATGTACTTGACTGACAGTTTACACTGGAAAAAAATAAATAAATGTAGCTTAATTAAACCTGTGATATTAACATTACAAAATAAAGTTTGTATCTTTACATGAATATATCTTGTTGTTATGTTATGTTGTTATATATGTTAACACGGTGTTATAAACCGTGTTATAAACCAAGGACTGTGTTTTAAATTGCAAATAAGGTTGGCAGGGGGCTATAAATTAGGTGCTGAAGCTAAACTGAATTGAAGCTAACTTGGCTAAATGGCTATCCCGCCAGGTGTAAGCCTGGAGGGCATCATACATATGGTTGTATGTGTCCAAAGCTAATCTGGCATACTACTGACCTCATTTTTGTGCATATTTAGGTTTCCTCCTGTGGTTGCTCTGTGTCACAAATTTTGGTAAAACAATTTCTTTGACTTTTGACTCCTCAGCAGTTTTCTATCTGATTACCTGTGTAATAGCAAGCGCTTCTTTGTTGGAGGGTGGACTCACTATTCAGTTCAAGCTGAATAGTTTTTCTCTTGCCCTGTCTCTTTCTAATTGGTTTCTTTCTGTATCTTGTGATGTTTCTCCATCTCACTCTTGGTCTTTCTCACAGAGGAAGCCATTACGGTCTACTCAAACTGTTGAGCCTGTACAGGAATAGACATCAAGGGAGCAGAGGTCCTTTTTGGCAATCCTGATGTGGCACATGCTTGTACTTACCTGATGGGTCTTATCTATGCCATGGAACTAAGCTACCCTAAGACACTGAAATACACCTTTGAGGTTTTTCAGAAGATCTTCCTAGAGCTGGAGGATGTGAACAACAGGATGTCCTCCAAGGTTCATGATCTGAAGGTCAGATTACATTCCTAAAAGCCATACGGACTTGGTTGAAGGCAGAGGGTTTTAGTAACCCCCTCTGGTCAATGTTTACAGTTATGGTGTTTACACTGCAGTGTCCCAGGTTGTCCCAATGCACTTTCTCAGGTTCTTGAAGTCTCAAAGTGCACTGTCTCAGGTTACACTGATCTATTTTGTTGTTGGTATTTGCTTATTTGGGGTATGTATTGCATTATAGTGTGAATTCCATCAGTTCTCTGTACTTTTAATGGCACAAAATTCGGCCCTGGTCAGTTCAGACAAATCAGTGTCACCTAGGTCTTCATATGGGGCTGTTGTTGTTTTAAGGTTGTAAGAGCATTTTAAGGAACATAACTGCTCAGGAGTGAGAAACACATGACTCATGGAGGAGATCTTATACAATGTTGATGTATTGTATTCATAGTTCAAAATAAGACCTTACTTCAAGTTGTGCATTTGTTGAACTGCATTTCAGAATCTTTTTAAATGCAAGTTAAATATTTATACCTGATGACTTGTGGGTGTTGTTCAGAGTACATACTGTTGGCAGACAGGGTCTAGGGGATGGCCTTGTCCATTTATTTGTGTGTTCAACACTTCAGCTACTTGGCAGCATATTAATGAATGTAGTGAATGGATTGTTGTCGTTCATGACGTTAAGTCAATAAATCCATTAAATTTCTGTGACTTTATGGTTTCTCTTGTTCGAGCACATTAATATTTTCTACACTGAATAGTGTCAGTTTTGACAGTTTATCTCAAGACCAATATGTCAGTTTTTAGTAGTGCATTAATGCTTTTCAAAGGAAGATTCCTCTTGGTTAAGGTGACCTTATGACTTTACCTCTAGTGCTATCCTCAGGCAAAACATTTGACTTGTACACAATATATCTTCATATAATACATGGAGTGCTACATAATTTGCTGAGTGTACTCATGCTTCCCAGCGAATGAACCCTTCTAATAAAATAACCATTTGAATTGCTAACTAGAAAATGTGAGTAAAAGTAATATTAAAACAGCAGTAGTAAATTTGGAAAAACTATGTAGATCCCACTTCAAGTAAGTAATATCAAAATAAGAAAATTAAGTAAGTTTCAATTAAAAATGCATATTTGTAATTCAAAAAATTAAGTAGCTAACACACTCAAAAATATGCTGGGAGAATTGCTAAAATTAAGTCGTATATACAAAGACTAGCTTTGCTTGATCTACATAATAATCTGATGCAAAAAGTTGCCTTAATTTTTTTAAGTAGATCAAGCAGGATATTTTTATCAGTATATGATGTAAGGGGATTTTTATGGGAAAACACAGTGATTTAATTTGTTTACAGACTGACGTTGTGTGTATCTAGAAACTTACTCATTTTAACTGATGACCAATTCCATGACCATTTTATCAGAGTTGCCTTAAGTTATGCCATTTTCATTTTTTTGTAGCTACATTGACCTGCAACTTATATTTATACACACACACACACACACACACACACACACACACACACACACACACACACACACACACACACACACAATTAGAGCTCAGTCTTTTCAGTGAAGTCACCATATGGGGGGAATTCAGGACCAGAGAGTACAGATTTGATTAATCAAGCTTTCTGTGGTCTCCCCCGTTGTTGGGAAACATTGATGGTGACAAATAGAAATACGAGTGAAAGCTATGACTCACCAATCACCTTAAATGAACCCACTCTACCCTGGATACGCAGACTTTAATGAGATCAGGACATAGAGATGACCATCTACTGCAAAAAGTTGTTTAAATTCCTCAAATAAAAAACAGTCGGCAGCTGAGTTTGAGAAATCCTCCACTACGTCCTGAGCTTGATGTTTTGTTGTTATGATTTTTTTTATTGCAATATGGTTCAATACATTTAAAATCATTGTTGAATGGATGAGTTGGGATTTCCTTTAAAATCCTATATATTCTGCATTTAAGGAGCCAAGGCTGTAATCTCCCTCATTTTCAGGGAATCTGAACTAATGTCAAAGTGGTTTAAAAGATTACAGAGGGCTTCTGTCACAAGACTAAAGCACCACAAATGACGGCTGAACTGCACAGAAATGTCTGCCTTTCTGTCAGGAACAGGCTGGGCTGTATGTGTTCAAAGTGCTGGCAACATCTTTCATATTTATAATTCATTTAAACCTCGAGTTTTGTTGACATGGACTACAGAGAAAGCAGATGCAGAGATATTTTCTCATGTAAACACAAAAATAGAGAAGTCCGACTTTTGGTTTTACTAAAACAAACTTCAGAAACACAAATCTCAGATATTTAGTACTTATTTTATTTTCTTGTCTTGCATTCAGCTGCCAACATACATTTACAAGGCAGATTCCAAACACAACACAAATTCAGATATGAATTCACCATTTGTCTGAAACAACGAAGCAACAAAAGGCACACAATACAGATAAAGCAATGTGAACTCACAAATCACAAAACAAATCTCTGTAAATTCATAAGTGTCACGATTGAGTTTTTGCTTTGTATGATGATGAACTGGGGGGGGGACTCTTTCACTAGTTAAAGTGAGTCAGATTTGATTTTTTATTTTTCCCTCTTTATTTTCCATCTTTTCCTAGTTTGTCTCTAATTGGTGTAATTTCAAATACAATTTTCACTGGTGGGGCCAATTTATTAACAATAGAAAAATCAAACACAGCTTAGGGCAGATCATGATCTATTATACGAATATGAATCACCATGGTGACACGTTGCAATGAAAGCTCAATATATGACTGATATTAAAACATCAGCTTTTGGTTAGGTCTGTTTTCATCCTTGTGACAATGCGTTTATTGCCACATGGTTGTCAATGATTTATGTAGCTTATGAAGTATGAGAATTTTACTTAACCTACAGAGGAACACTCAATTTTTTCAGTTTTTCTGAAAAAATAAACACTGAATTTTGAGATACATGGTTGGGACTCACCATGCCGGCTGCTTTCAGTGTCAAAATATAGCATTTCCAGCATTTGCACCCACTACTACTTTCATACAGAATACTAAAGTGTTCCTTTATACTATTTAGTATAAGTGATACACACAGTACTGGTTATAATTATTGGTACCCCTGAATTAAGTACATCATTTAGTATTCTTTAAGAAATAAATGCAACAGTAATATTTAAATAACTTGTCCAAGGTCACTGAACAAAAGAACAGTTTGTAATGTTATCACAATGTTTCGCAGTCATAAAACTGTCAAGATACTTCCAGGACGTAGTGCTAAGACGAAACTCAATGAGAGAAATCTGCAATGGTTGGTATGGATTGTGGAAAAACACCACGCAAGACATTTAAAGAGCTTCAGGCTAACCTGGAGCAATACCACATGCAGCACACTAAACCAAGCAGGGCTCCATGGGCAAATGCCAAAGAGGACCCCACTATTGAAAGAAAGGCACAAAAAGGTAAAACTAA